GTTCCATCTTGAGTTAATAAAGTGCAGCTGCATAGGCCATTTCGTAGTCCACCTCCCAGGAAAAAATCTAAGAAGTCATTTATACATCAATTGTTCAGAGACCATATACCTACCCTTGACATAAGTTTCTGATTGTGATGGGACAATAAGAACACTAAAGAACTTAAAGTAATGCGAGTGATCAGTTCAGTACTTGATTGCTTTGACCATTCGCAATGCATCATCACTGGGACTCCAAAAACCTATTGAGCATAATTACTGTAATCTAAATGGGGACTGATCTCGAGATTGAACAAATCAAAACATATGGTCTCTCATTGTTTTGTCACTCAAATGCCACTTTGTATGCTAACTTAAATTTTATGATGTATGTCAGCCTTGTCAGTTAAGCATCACTGTAATTATCAACACAATATCTCCGTTTTACAGGGGTTGTGTTATAGCCTAGCAGTTAAAGTTTTCGCTCGTCACACCGAAGCCCAGGTTCGATTCCCGACATGGGTACAATGTGTGAAGCTCATACCTGGTGTCCCCCACCGTGATATTGCTGGAATATTGCTAAAAGCTGCTTAAACCCAAACTCACTCACTCTGATTGTGATGGGACAATAAGAACACTATAGAACTCAAAGTAATGCGAGTCTGATCAGTTCAGTAAAGGGATTGCTTTGATCATCACTGGGGCTGCGAAAATCTTTTCAGCATAATTACTGTAATCTAAATAGGGACTAATCTAAGACTGAACAAATCAAAACATATTGTTTCTCATTGTATTGTTACTCAAATAACACTTTGTATGCTAACTTAAATTTTATATTGTATGTCAACCTTGCAGTTAAGCATTTCTGTAATCACCCACACAATATCTCCGTTCCTCACAGACCGAGACTGCAACTGGGCGCCAGTGAAACTATGGTACATGCATGCAGGCTATGAGGAATGTCATGTACACACGCCCTAGCCATACCTATTTCAGTCGGTATCACAACAGGTTTCTAACTAACAGGTTTCGCACATCATGGAAGGTTCGTACAGATGACGGTGATTATATATGCGACCTGCTGCAGTTGCCTGGGTCGGTTTCATGCACTACTTGAATGCTGACAAGCCTGTTGCCATGGGTCGGTTTCATGCACCACTTGAATGCGGACAAGCCTGTTGCCGTGGTTTAGGAAGGTGGCGGTCATGGGGTCAACATTGTGTGGTTTCCTCTTCATCCTGCCAAACAACCTCAGGTATTTCTTCGGACATCCGTGTTTACTTGCTCAATTTGATATATGTAAGTCCACTGGGAATGGTGTCTGGATCGGGAGAGTGAGTGAGTGAATATGGTTTTACGCCGCTTTTAGCACTATTCCAGCAATATCACGGCGGGGGACACCAGAAATGGGCTTCACACATTGTACCCATGTCGGGAATCGAACCCGGGTATTCGGCGTGACGAGCGAACGCCTTAACCACTAGGCTACCCGACCGCCCCCTGGATCGGGAGAAAGATTGACGATACACACGAGCACATGTGTTTGACGTCGAGCACAAGATCAGAGTAATGGAGGATGTTCCAGAATCCTAACTCAGTGTGTGCTTGGATACTTAAATGAGTATTACATTCGTAATGGATTTGCTTTGTTTCACCACATTTGCGGTGTAGATGGCTTTGGAAACAATAAACAGAAATATGGTGACCATTTATAATAAAACATAATTCTACTTCGGTTTTAATGGCATTTGTTTTATTTCAACGTTACATAAAAATACTGAGGACATTTACTCCACTAAAAAGATAAGGGTCCAATTGAAGTTTTTATTAATAGATACGGATATAATGTGCATTTATCATTTTTTTAGGGGATTAAAACTGACTTTTGGCTACAGTCCGTAGGCAAATATTTGCACAACATTCGTGTACTTGTATGGAGAGTGAGACAGTGCAGGCATTTTTGTGAACTGACGTTCTGGAGCAGCGACAACCATATCGTTTTTAGTCAGTGTATATGTTATTGTCTTTAGCAGGTCTCCGCGTTAATTTGTTCTTGACGACGTCATTTCGAAGGGCCCCCGGAGCCGCAGGTTAATTGGGATGAGTGTAACCTCATCGTCACTTTGGCACCCATGGGAACGTTATTCTTGACGTTATTTGTACAGGCAGAAAGACTAGTTCTGTTGTGAAGAGCCCTAAAACAGGACGTCACAAGAAAACAAGTCACTGACTTGCAAACATAAATCGTCTATCCACGGTCTTCAACCTTGGATAGGAAAGTTTCACAGTGATAAAGGGGTAGCAGCAACATTTAATATACCATCAGTCAAGGGTCTTGTAACGCCAAAATAGCAGCGACAAGTGACATGATCACACCTTGTGTATAGAAGTACTGACACTGGTTGTGACCATAGCACTTGTAGCTGTTAATTCTTGCGCTACAAGGCACCGTGGGCTGGTTACGATGTCAAATAAATTGCAAATCGAAATTGTTGCTGCCTGTTCAAAGATGAGTCAGTGGTCATGGTTGGTTGGATGGCTTGTTGATTAACGCCGCACTCAGCAATATTCCAGCCATCTGACGGCAATCTGTAAATAATCGAGTATGGACTAGACAATCCAGTGATTATCGATCATGAGCATCGATCCACGCAATTGGGATCGATGACATGCATCAACCAGTGACTGGTATTAGACATTACGTCGGTGCAATAGGTGACGACTTGTTCTAATGATCGAAAATAGCCTATTCAGACAGACCAGCCACGTCACTGGTTTGTATCTGTATTTATTATTTAACGCTGCACTAATCTGCCCAGACAATCCAGTGATTGATATTGTGAGCATTCGTCATATTCTTAGACATTACTGTCGGTGAAATAGGTAACGACTTCGGTCTAATGATCGAAAATAGCCCATTCAGACAGACCAGCCACGTCACTGATTTATTTGTTTATTTGTTATTTAACGCTGCAGTAATCTGACCAGACAATCCAGTGATCGATATTGTGAGCATACGATCCACGCTGTTGGGGTTGCGGTGACACGGACACGTCACAGGGTATCGTCAGTGGAAAACATTACGGTGTATGGTTCAGCCAGCTTATTCCCTGGACGTGATGCCTCCATCAATGCATTGCTCATAGATTTGGGTGCTTCCATGGCGTTGTCAAAGAGTCATCAAAATATTCGCTTTCCCGTTTTCTCGCAGGTAAACTGTGGAATGTAATCTATAAGTACAGACAACGCAGCGGGAGGCATTCACTACACTACACAGATGGGTTGGACTTAACGACGCTTTTAATGGTGTTTTAGTTATATATAGCGCGTCGTTAATTTAACGTAGGAGAGCCCGACACAGGCGTTTAACGTGAAACCCTTGACCTCGGTTGAAGTCTTCAATTTCAGTTTTTTTAATCTTCTAGATTAACATGAAAAAATGCGTAATTTGAAACTAGAAGTAAGACATGGAAAAAATTAAAAAATAAAATCCATGGCGCGAGTCCAAAGCTATATTTTCGTTTTTCGGAACCTATCCACAAACATTTAAAATGACCTTTAAATACATAGCATTACTTAACACCGAACAAACACACACATATGCAGATGAGACAATTTGGAAATTACAAACGAGAAATGTCCGTGTTTTTAAACCACACCTTCATCCTTTGACTTGACAGGCGAGGAGACGTTTGTAAACCTCAGTGGACAAAGGCTACATACGAGATTAACATGCGGAATTTGTCTGGGTCTAGGAAAGTCACACCTGAGTCCTTCTTCCGACCTAGCTGACCTTCAAACCGCAGCTATTGAAGGGTCTTTTTGTCAGGCTTTCATCTGAGGAAGTATTACCGCCTGCAGCGGGTCACACACAGGTAGGTGCTCGATAAAGCCTCCTGTCAAACATTGTCAGATATTTATGTACAACAATACCAATGTATTTTTCTCTATATTACTATAATTATAAAACCAAAAGTGTGTGTGTGTGTGTGTGTGTGTGTGTGTGTGTGTGTGAGAGAGAGAGAGAGAGAGAGAGAGAGAGAGAGAGAGAGAGAGAGAGAGAGAGAGTTACACTCACCCATCCATTCTCTACTGCCTAAAGGAACTGTGGTCCCATGAGATCCGGGGTAGAATAGGTCTTCAGCAACCCATAAAAGGCGACTATATGCTTATCGCATAAGGCGACTAACGGGATCGGGTAGTAAGGCTCGCTGACTTGGTTGATGCATGTAATCGTATCCAAAATGCGTGGATCGATACTCATGATGTCAATCACCGGATTATCTGGTTCAGACTCGATTATTTACATACCGCCGTCATATAGCTGGCAAATTGCTGAGTGCGGCGTTAAACAACAAACAAACAAATAAAGGGGATGTGGGGTAGCTCCGTGGTTACAACGTTCACAAGTCACGTCGGGTTCTATTCCGCACGTGTGAAGCACATTCCTAGTGTCCCCCGCCATGATGATATGACTGGAAGAATGCCGAGGCGTGAAACCATACTCTCTCTCAAACACAAGACGCAAACGAACAGCATTGTACATGTCTCACTTTGTCCAGAACTCTTAACTGATAAAAATATAATTATTAAAAATCAGATATGAAAACTCAGGATACTTTACATTTCAACTTTGAAGTTGGTCTGTTTATAGCAAGAACATCACGTGTGTTACACAAATTCAATGTAGGGTATTTCATCAGAAAATAAGGACATGCATCTGACAAAAAAATATAAATAATAATAGCAATCTTTGATCACGCCCGTAAACCACATTAACCAGTTTAACCTTTACACAGATGGAAGAAATTAATAGTTTCATTCAGAGCACAACGTGTGGCGTGTGAAGTTTCACCTGAAGGTTTGTTTAGGTCATAAAGCGGAAACATTCAACGCCCCGCTTGTCTTCCGCCATGCTTTCCTTGATAATTCATAACAACGCTGTCTGTTTGTAAATAAATACTTTGATGACGTTTCCTTATCGTAATGTAATGTTTTACACAAATCACGAGGAAATAAAACGTCGAGCTCCGCTGTGTGTACAACACACGTAGCAGAAGTAGTCGTCGAGACAACGTTGACTGTACCGATGATGTGCTGGGCAGGTGAGTTTTCCGATTAGTCATACTCACATTGATCTGAGGTAACTATTGCTGTCTATTCACGGGGATGTAAATGGTATGGTTTGAGTAACCTATATGCAGTGATACATACGTTGTTGTCCTCCTCCTGTGTTGTTAGGGTGTGCCAGAATCCAACGATCGTGGGTTCGAATCTCAAATTGACCCTGTATACAATCCTTGGTTTGTAAACACCATTCCCGTGAGCGCGGACTTCACCGAAGTGGTAAACGTCTGAGACACACATCACTTCGGGCTTTCCTCCCACATTAAGCCGATACGCTCTGATGTAATTGTAATACAGTAACTGTAATACTATTCGAACTCCTAACACACAAGACCCCCTCCCCGGAGAGCAGAAGGTCCGGGGTTCGGTTCCCGGCAGCGTCATACCAAAAGACGTTAAAAGATGGTACTTGTTGTTACCCTGTCTGGCGCTCGGCATTAAGGGGCTAAAACAAGGACTGGTCGGCACGGAGTCAGTAAACTGTCTGAGTGGGGTATTCATGTTACAGTGCGGGAGGTATCTCAGTGGGCTCAGTCCGGACTAGTATAAGCACACACACACACACACACACACACACACACACACACACACACACACACACACACACACACACACACACACACACACACACACACACACACACACACACACACACACACACGTGCAAGCACGTCGCTATGTAAATGCAAACCCCATTTCACCTCACCTCACCTAACTCACAAGAGATATTGAGATATTCACTTACATCACAGCGTTTCAGTTCAACATAGTTGACATTCATTCCCTTTATGAAAACAATAAATATAGGGCTATGGTGCCGAAAACGACAATTTGAACTTACGATCATGTGATCACGCCAAAGGGGCACAACCCAGGGAGCAACTGGGCTCTCAGTGTCCTGGTTGTTTAATGCGACGGTTGCCGAGGTCATTTTGTTATACGTATGTTTTTGTGTTTAATTATGGTGCTGAAAAAACCCTTAAAATCATTAGAGCCTATGACCAACGGATCCTTGATTATTTATATTATATATAAAATATGCATCTAAAATCGCTTTTGCGTTTCTTTTTTTCAAGAGTATATATAAGTTGAGGTTCCTAAAAGTAGTCGTCCGGAAAACAATGTCCGGATTAACAGGGTCTCCATACATCATCCTTTGCATGACAAATAAATCAAATATAATTTCCTTTTGTCTTTCCCAGTCGTATTCCATAATAACGTCATTAAAACAATAAATGTGCTCCGCGTAAATGTATATATAAACAACCACAAGTAAAATTATGCTGTATAATCTTCTTTGTTTATAAAATATCACACCTATATTTCAGTCTAGCCATAACCAAAGAAATAAACAGGAGACATTTATATCTACCATTTAAAAGATAAGGAAAACCAGAGTTTAAAAAAATTGACATTAAGACGTATCTTAATGTAATCATCTTAATCTAAATGAACTGCATAACTGGCTTCAGTGATCTTGCCACATGGAATATCTGCACATCCCCCTGGAGTGTCTAACGCCCGCCGCACTCGGAACATCACGGAGTGGGGTAAAAACTACCCCCAGAGAAACTCTGACTGATTAACCCTCGTCTGTAATGTCTCAAATATAGTATCCACTGAGGCCAAAATGTATTTCTAACTACAGTTAACTACGTCTGACTGATTAACCCTCGTCTGTATGTCACAAATATAATATCCACTGAGGCCAAAATGTATTTCTAAGCACACTAAACTACGTCTGACTGATTAACCCTCGTCTGTATGTCACAAATATAATATCCACTGAGGCCAAAATGTATTTCTAAGCACACTAAACTACGTCTGACTGATTAACCCTCGTCTGTATGTCACAAATATAATATCCACTGAGGCCAAAATGTATTTCTAAGTACAGTAAACTACGTCTGACTGATTAACCCTCGTCTGTATGTCACAAATATAATATCCACTAAGGCCAAAATGTATTTCTAAGTACAGTAAACTACGTCTGACTGATTAACCCTCGTCTGTATGTCACAAATATAATATCCACTAAGGCCAAAATGTATTTCTAAGTACAGTAAACTACGTCTGACTGATTAACCCTCGTCTGTATGTCACAAATATATTATCCACTGAGGCCAAAATGTATTTCTAAGTACAGTAAACTACGTCTGACTGATTAACCCTCGTCTGTATGTCACAAATATAATATCCACTGAGGCCAAAATGTATTTCTAAGTACAGTAAACTACGTCTGACTGATTAACCCTCGTCTGTATGTCACAAAATAATATCCATTAAGGCCAAAATGTAGTTCTAAGTACAGTAAACTACGTCTGACTGATTAACCCTCGTCTGTATGTCACAAATATAATATCCACTAAGGCCAAAATGTATTTCTAAGTACAGTAAACTACGTCTGACTGATTAACCCTCGTCTGTATGTCACAAATATAATATCCACTAAGGCCAAAATGTATTTCTAAGTACAGTAAACTACGTCTGACTGATTAACCCTCGTCTGTATGTCACAAATATAATATCCACTAAGGCCAAAATGTATTTCTAAGTACAGTAAACTACGTCTGACTGATTAACCGTCGTCTGTATGTCACAAATATAATATCCACTGAGGCCAAAATGTATTTCTAAGTACAGTAAACTACGTCTGACTGATTAACCCTCGTCTGTATGTCACAAATATAATATCCACTAAGGCCAAAATGTATTTCTAAGTACAGTAAACTACGTCTGACTGATTAACCCTCGTCTGTATGTCACAAATATAATATCCACTAAGGCCAAAATGTATTTCTATGTACGTTTACGTTTCAACAAAGATAACTAACATGACGGTGAAGATAGTTTTCGAACTACACTATTCGAACTATTATGTTTGTTAATTTCATCATATTGCTTTTACAGTAACAGTTTTCAGAAGAAGACATCACATTAAATTGCAGTTGTGACCCAAACATCCCAGTCTTGGCAATAAGATGATCCCATTCCGCCCAAAACACACGTAGAAGACCTTGTACTTGACAACATAGACGTGGCGACTATTTAGAATTATAAACCTCCGGTGACGTCATCCTATTGTTCTCCAATAGGGTTAAATCTCATAAACAGGGACGTTGTAATGTCCCTGGGATTTTATATAACATCCCCAGGATTTTATAGGATATTCAAGTCATATTTGCTATATAATGTGTTATAATATCCCAGGGATTTTATATAATTTCCTGGGTATTTTATCAATATAAGTTCCGTTCAGATTGTAACATGTAATGAAATGTAAAATCAAATGACATCATCTTTATATTCCTGAGGATCGAACTCGCAACCTTCATATCTGTAGCCCAGTGACTGCTTTTTAGAATGTCCTTTTCAAGGTCCGTACGCCAGCAACAGATATTTTACGCCCGTTTCCTAAGGTTCATGGAAAGTATGTTCGAAACATAAAAATGTTGATAAATGTTGTTTTAAGTTTCTTTTTTCGGTTTATAAGTAAGATAAAACACTTCCCCTCGAGTTTTTATGATATTTAAAACCCTTTCCCTCTGAATATCCCTCGGGATGCGGGTTTTAAATATCATAACAACCCTCGGACGTGTTTTATCCTATACTTAAAGAACGCATAAAAGCGATGTGTAAATCGTACTCGCCAGGCACTAACAAAGTTACATTATTATCGTGCGTGCTGGGCGAAGGGAGATAACTTAGAACTTAAAGCTGACGATGTTTGCGAGGCAGTTTGGTGGAAAACAAGACTAATGAGTATTCGTTGCCTATGTATTGATTAATATTTATTTATTCCACGTAACGCTACATGCAGTTACATCTACATATAATACCAATACACAGTTTAAAAGAGGCACTCCCCGATTAACTTCACTTAAACAGTTTACGTTGACAGTCACTACAGTTTCAGTGTGATAGATATTTATATTTTTATGGATACAAAGTTTGAATAATTAGTTACAGAAACTCTTTTTTAAACGTGAAATAAATTGTTATTTAAACATTAGGACACAATTAAAATATAGTGTGCGCTTATTTCACTGACAGCTTCTTACTGCCATTTCTCCGTGTTTACGGCAAAGGCGAAGAGCGCATGACCAAGTGTCATCATTTCAAAGGGACGTAATTATTCATGGAGCATTTTTTAACTAAGACCACGAGAAATCAAAACATTTTTCGTCTGATGTTCGCATGGAGGTGAGGTTACGTGAAATGGTGTATAACGTCGCGTCCAAGATTATTTCACTTATCACAGCAACGTGCATGCAAGTGTGTGTGTGTATGTGTGTGTGTGTGTGTGTGTGTCTGCTTGAACTTGTCCGAACTAATGCCGATTTTATAGTGCCCACTGGGATACCATGCCGCAGTTTAACATAGATACCCCGCTCAGACACAGTATACTGACTCAGTATGTTGTCCAGTCCTTGTTTTAGCCCCTTGATGCCGAACGCCAGGCAGGGTAACAACAAGTACCATCTTTTAACTCTCCTTCTGGTACGATGCCGCCAGGGACCGAACCGCATACCTTCCGCTCTCCGGGCGGACGCTCTACCACTAGACCACGGAGGCGGTCTGTTAGCATGAAGCTTCATGGAGGAAGCGTGTTTAAATCATTTTTTGTTGAACTTTCTATCGGTTTTTAATAATCCAATAATAAAGGGGCACGTGTGGCCCGGTCGTCTAAGGCGCCTCAACTCGCTGTGCAGAATTGCGACCCTTGGGCACGCCAGAAACCTATGATTGTGGGTGCAAATCCCTTTTCTCCCCGATTATGTGTCTTGGTTTGTTAGCACCATACCCGTGCTCGTGGGTTTCACTGAAGTGGTAAACGTCTGAAACCTGCATCACTTCGGGCTTTCCTCACATAGTCAGCTCTCATGCCGTGATATAACTGGAATACTGTTAACAGCGGCGTTAAACCCAACTCACTCACTCACCCAACATAAATATATATTTACAAATCACCGTCATGATAGTATTGCTTAAACAACAAACATATGAATATAAAAAAGTGTTTATAGTGTGTAGGATAACCATTGATCAGTGTGTAGGATAACCATTGGTCAGTGTGTAGGATAACCATTGGTCAGTGTGTAGGATAACCATTGGTCAGTGTGTAGGATAACCATTGGATATAACTGGAATACTGTTAAAAGCGGCGTTAAACCCAACTCACTCACTCACCCAGTCTAAATATATATTTACAAATCACCGTCATGATAGTATTGCTTAAACAACAAACATATGAATATTAAAAAGTGTTTAAAGTGTATTATTTCTCCCTTTTCAGAACCTTGGAAGATAGCCTTATTTGCACAGGGAGGAGATCCTACATATGGTCTTATGGTCTTTTTAGCAATGAAAAAAAACTCACACTGAAATTTCTTCTAGTTTGATATCGTCATTCCTTACATCAGCAGCAAATCCAAACGTAACGTTTCCTGTTCCAGCTATGACGTCGTCTTCGATATTATGGATCATCGTGCCCTTACTGGCGTCACTGGTGAAATGTCAACGTCAGGTGGTCGACTTGACCCACGCATGCAGTATCGACACCCTCTACTGGCCAGGGGTTCCAAGATTCAACTTCACCATCCTGGAGCGGCGCGAGGTGGATAACCATTGGTCAGTGTGTCGGATAACCATTGGTCAGCATGTAGGATAACCATTGATCAGCGTGTAGGATAACCATTGGTCAGCGTGTAGGATAACCATTGGTCAGTGTGTTGGATTACCATTGGTCAGTGTGTAGGATAACCATTGGTCAGTGTGTAGGATAACCATTGGTCAGTGTGTAGGATAACCATTGGTCAGTGTGTTGGATTACCATTGGTCAGTGTGTTGGATTACCATTGGTCAGTGTGTAGGATAACCATTGGTCAGTGTGTAGGATAATCATTGGTCAGTGTGTAGGATAATCATTGGTCAGTGTGTAGGATAATCATTGGTCAGTGTGTAGGATAACCATTGGTCAGTGTGTAGGATAATCATTGGTCAGTGTGTAGGATAATCATTGGTCAGTGTGTAGGATAACCATTGGTCAGTGTGTAGGATAATCATTGGTCAGTGTGTAGGATAACAATTGGTCAGTGTGTAGGATAATCATTGGTCAGCGTGTAGGATAACCATTGGTCAGTGTGTAGTGCAACCATTAATCAGTTTGTAGGATAACACAATAAGTGTGTTGCAGCTGAACCCACCCGACATACTCGTTCATTTCACACACGTATGGAAGCTATGTCATTTCGAAGATATGCTCTCCAAAGAATAGATGGGTCATGAAATATAAATGTTGTGATCGGTTGTTAGAAGAAAGATCAGCTTTGAAAAATGATTGCCAGAGATAGAACGGTTTCAGAAGCAAAACCTGACGCGTCAACATACGTGGATCATGCCATTCCTCCGTACACGTGGGAAGGGAGTCATTCTTCATTTCGACTCTCTGGAAGGTCTTCAAATTGCTCTGAGCCATTAGTATAGTTCACAAATTGCATGGGTATGTGGTGAGCCGAATGGTATCCAGATTATCTACACGGCAACTCAGCGAGCGGGACGTGGGTTCTCCAGAATATCAATACGGCAACTCAGTCAACTTCAATCTGAGAACAGGCGTTGTAATCGGTGCCGGGTGTGAGACATTGTCACCAAGCCGAGTCCCGTTTCAATTTATGTGACATTATCCTTTGGTTTGAACAATGCTGTATGTCCAAGGGTTGTATCTGATATGTCAAATATAGTTTTCTTGTCCTTGTAGGTTGGAGAGCAACTGGTTCAGCACATCCGAACACGGCGGGACCCACCTGGACGCACCTTCCCACTTCTACAGGGGGCATCCTCGAGTCCATCAAATCCCCCCCGAGCGTTTGGTTGGCCCCGGGGTGGTGATCGACATCACAAGCCAAGCGGCAAGCAACCCCGACTACCAGGTCCAGCTGAGTGACATCACTGCCTGGGAGCTGGCACACGGACGTATACCTCTGGGATCTGTCGTCATGATGAACTCCAACTGGGGGAGTCGATACCCAAACAGGTCCCTGGTCTTCAACACCAACACGACCGAAGACCCTTCAACATTCCGTTACCCTGGCTGGCACGTGGCCACGGTGAACTGGCTAGCCACCAACAGACAGGTCATTATCATCGGTGTGGACACTCCGTCAACAGACTTTGGGCGAACACCAAATTTTGCAGTCCACCAAACGCTTGGTCGGCATAATGTTTCAGGATTGGAAAACATTGCAAATTTGGACAAGTTACCACCACGGGGAATGACCGTATTTGTCGGGGTGGCCAAAATATTGGACGGCAGCGGCGGGCCTGCCCGAGTGTTTGCCATGATGGATGAACCGAAGACTCCTTGCTCCTGTCCCAGAACACAACAGCCACGGTTCCGACAAGAAAGAAGACCTCGGCCTATTCAGTCCGGAAGTTCCCGGAATCTGCAATTGACCTACATAGGGTTTGTAGGTCTCTTGGTGTTATATAACGTCCAGTTTTGATTCGTTAATTCGTTTCTGATGAACACTCTCAAATTTTACAGACCGAACCGTGTTTGCTTCCAGGTGTTTTTTATGGAGTGGTGTAGCAATTAACGATTGGCGTGTGTTGCACGGGAAGGATGTTAGTTGTTTAGATATGTGTGGCATCGGTGCAATAACACACCACTTATATTGTAATTTGCTATATATTCATTGACGGCATACACGTAAATCTATGGATGAAACTGAAAATGTGTCTATGTGTATACCGGTTTTCAATGCTGCGTGAAAATTATCACTCGTATAACCATCAATGGCGCGTGTACCGTGGCGCGTGTACAACGTCGTGTAGTGCGTGTACACGACAACATGTTTCTTTATTGTATGTCTGATTTCGATATATCTAATATTATAGAAATATATATCATAATATTTAATCATGCTCCTGACGACACTTAAAAATATACAACCAGTATAAATATTGCTTTGATAATACTCTGTTCATGAACGTAATGAACTAGACAAAACCTATATAATGTACAGTAAACTACGGTTATGACGAACTCAAGGCGACCACTATTTTTAATTAGTTCGTTATAAGCATATATACAGCATATATAAAGCAAATGGACGGGACCCAAAACCAGTTCGTTATATCCGTCAGTTCGTCATAAGGGTGTTCGTTATAAACGTAGTTTACTGTACATACACATTGCTGTAGTCAGTTTTTGATGTTGATAATGCTATTTCTATACGATATGATAATATTTCACTACACAAGCCAAATGTATATTTTTGATAATGAATAAATGTGATATTTTTTATTCGGTATTTATTTTGTAAGAGTAGGGAAGCCACGAGTGAAAGTCCAAGTAGAACATTACATAGCACCGACAATACAACATTCTGTAAACGCACCACATGTCACACATTTATCACAACAAACCATCGCTATGATTCGATGGTCACATTATCAATGTCTCGTGTCTGCCGCATGTCAAATAATGAACACATAATAAAAAGTGCATATAAATTGTGCAAATATCCGAATAAGTTAACTCGGGATTGTGAAACTTGGAAAAGGATTTTTAGCTCGTGTGGTATAAAGTCTTAAGGTTATGTAGCTTAGGCATGCCTGAAGATGGCCCAGTTCTCTTGTTACTGGAATACAAGCGATTCCAACTGTATCACAAGCATGTTTTCATGGATGAATAGGTGGCCCAGTCGTCTAAGGCGCCGCGATTCGCTGTGCAGAGTTGCGTCCCTTGGGCACGCCAGAAACCTATGATTGTGGGTTCGAATCCCGGTTCGCCCCGATTATGTTTCTAGGTTTGTCAGCACCATACCCGTGCTCGTGGGTTTCACAGAAGTGGTAAACGTCTGAGACCTGCCTCAGTTAACTTTACTGTTAAAAGCGGCGTTAATCCCAACTCACTCATGGATGAATATCAAATAGTGATGGAAGCAGGTGTTCGGGAAAGGGAGATTGTATCCTGCCCCACCGATAGCAGCCGTCACAAGAGATAGTATTATTTTAAGAGAACTTGACCCAACGATTGTAAAATGCACCGTCTGTGAAGCCGAGATATTGTCTCTTAATGAGTGAGTGAAACGTTTATTCCATCTACATGATGGTGGCCTGCCACTAGACACTAGGGACTGGGTCGGGCACGTCAGTGGTTAATAGCATGAACATACGACACGCAATCAAATTGTGACCACCTGGTCCTCAATTTAACCGGGTCTAACGGCAAGCATGAGGTACTGAAGATCTATTCTGTCCCGCGAAACATCACTGCGAATTTCTCTTTTTTATTGGAGTAAGTATTACCGCTTGACTGATCTGTCTATGTTATTAGGGTAATACTTACCGCTTGACTGATCTGTCTATGTCATTAGGGTAATACTTACCACTTGACTGATCTGTCTATGTTATTAAGGAAATACTTACCGCTTGACTGATCTGTCTATGTTATTAAGGTAATACTTACCGCTTGACTGATCTGTCTATGTTATTAAGGTAATACTTACCGCTTGACTGATCTGTCTATGTTATTAAGGAAATACTTACCGCTTGACTGATCTGTCTATGTTATTAAGGTAATACTTACCGCTTGACTGATCTGTCTATGTTATTAAGGTAATACTTACCGCTTGACTGATCTGCCTATGTTATTGAGGTAATGCTTACCGCTTGACTGATATGTCTATGTTATTAAGGTAATACTTACCACTTGACTGATCTGTCTATGTTATTAAGGTAATACTTACCGCTTGACTGATCTGCCTATGTTATTGAGGTAATGCTTACCGCTTGACTGATCTGTCTATGTTATTAAGGTAATACTTACCACTTGACTGATTTGTCTATGTTATTATGGTAATACTTACCGCTTGACTGATCTGCCTATGTTATTGAGGTAATGCTTACCGCTTGACTGATCTGTCTATGTTATTAAGGTAATACTTACCGCTTGACTGATCTGCCTTTGTTATTATAATAATACTTACCGCTTGACTGATCTGTCTATGTTATTAAGGTAATACTTACCGCTTGACTGATCTGTCTATGTTATTAAGGTAATACTTACCGCTTGACTGATCTATGTTATTAAGGTAATACTTACCGCTTGACTGATCTGCCTTTGTTATTATGGTAATACTTACCGCTTGACTGATCTGCCTATGTTATTAAGGTAATACTTTCCGCTTGACTGATCTGTCTATGTTATTAAGGTAATACTTACCGCTTGACTGATCTATGTTATTAAGGTAATACTTACCGCTTGACTGATCTGCCTTTGTTATTAAGGTAATACTTACCGCTTGACTGATCTGCCTATGTTATTAAGGTAATACTTACCGCTTGACTGATCTGCCTATGTTATTAAGGTAATACTTACCGCTTTACTGATCTGTCTATGTCATTAAGGTAATACTTACCGCTTGACTGATCTATGTTATTAAGGTAATACTTACCGCTTGACTGATCTGCCTTTGTTATTTTGGTAATACTTACCGCTTGACTGATCTGCCTATGTTATTAAGGTAATACTTACCGCTTGACTGATCTGTCTATGTTATTAAGGTAATACTTACCACTTGACTGATCTGTCTATGTTATTGAGGTAATGCTTACCGCTTGACTGATCTGTCTATGTTATTGAGGTAATGCTTACCGTTTGACTGATCTATGTTATTAAGATCATACTTACCGCTTGACTGATCTGTCCATGTGTTTGAGGTAATATTTATTATTTGACTGATCTGTCTATAAGAGAAATCATATTTTCTGATGTTATATAATGTTAATGTAGAGCTACACATACATATCCTACCTAAATTATCTCAAATTGACATGGGTACAATGTGTGAATCCATTTCAAATTGCTGCAGTATTGGTCAAAGCTGAGTAAAACTATACTCACTCATTCACTCAGTATTGACAAGACTGATCAGAGACGCAGCCTAAAAATACATGTTATTTCAACGTAGAAACAGAAAAGTTAATGTGTCAAGACTTAATAAGTAAACATCCTGGCAACTTGGTCTCCTTTCCAGTGTATCACTGTAACTATTGAACACCAATAGCTGATACAATACAAGTTGCTTACAACATTCTAACATCACCGAGAGTACGTCGATTTACCTCCTTTTCAAATTCTGGGATGAAATAACAAGGTGAGGTGAAATTGGGTTTAACGTCGCGTCCAAGATAATTGTACTTATATAGCGACGTGCATGCACGTGTGTGTGTGTGGCTGCTTGTACTAGTAGTCCGGACTGATGCCGATTTAAAGTGCTAGCTCACTGAGATACCATGCCGCAGTTTAACATGAATACCCCACTCAGACACAGTATACTGACTCCGAGCCGACCAGTCCTTGTTTTAGCCCCTTAATGTCGAGCGCCAGACAGGGTAACAACAAGTACCATCTTTTAACGTATTTTTGGTATGACGCGGTCGGGGATCGAACCCCGGACCTTCCGCTCTCCGGGCGGACGCTCTACCTCTAGACCACGGAGGCGGCCTGAAATAACAAGGGAAAAAATAGACATAACAACACAATAATAATGCACATGTTTTCCTCTGTTGTTTTTACGAACCCACAATAGGAAAGTATATCAAACCACTGGACAGTTTACCAGATGTTAATCAGAGCCACAACATTCAAGGCCTTAGTGAAGCTTTCACGTTTCATGGTAGATATGTGGAGGTCATTTTCAGAGGTCACTCATCTTGACCAAAATGCAATCTCATTAAAATCAGATCTTAGTTCTCGCTACCGCTAAACAAAGATCTGAGGACATCCCATTAGGGGTCACGTCAGAACAACCTTTCATCCAACCAATCAGATCGTCGCTTACCAGATCATGAAAGTGACAGTCGGAATGTGATTTCTCATCATGCAACCTCGAAAACTTTTAAACGGGGTATTCCGAAAGATAATTACGGGCTTAACGACTGAATCTATATAATCTAGACCATATATTAACCATTCTAGAATGTTCTATTGTTCAGGTTTCAATTTTATAAGCGAGAATTTGCCAAAATATGTTTCGAAGCGTAGTCGCCAATTTGAAATTAGTGCCGTAAAGCACGAGAAAGCTGCCTTCTGATTGGCTAATGTCGACTTCTTGTCAGTAATTCCATTGGTCGGCCTGACGTGACCCGTAATGGGATTACCTCAGATCTTTGTTAAGCAGCAGCGAGAACTAATATCTGATTTTAATGAGATTGGACCAAAATGACGCCTTACATTGACTTGTGCTATATGTTCCCGGTGAACGATTGACTTGCCTTTGCATGTGTTTGTGACGGGTGTCACAGGTGGAGCACTTTTTGATGGTGATACATAAACGCATCCCCTTGATCGTTGGGCGATTTTGTATGGAAACCAGTTATTTTTTCAGATACATCTGCGACAGCAGATATGCATAAAATTAGTCCCTTAATGCCGAGCATTAGGCAGGGTAACAACAAGTGCCATCGTTTAACGCCTTTTGGTATGACGCGGCCCGCACCTTGCGCTTTAAGGCGGGCGCTCGACCACCCACTAGACCAGGAGACTGTCTGATCGCCTATGCACATGGGTTATATAATACAATAGAGTACTTACAATTTCGACAAACAACAAACAAATACAACCTTACTAAATAACAATGTTTTAAAAGTAAAAAAGGATAAAATTCACGCTGGTAATAGATAGGAGTGCTGAAAACAAACAGTTACTGTGTACAAAGCCATATTCCAGCTCAGATGTTAGAATGTTGCCTGAATGATGTTTGGATGTTGTCTCAATTATGTTAGAATTGTGTCTGAATGATGCTAGAATGGTGTCTGAATGATGTTAGAATGTTGCCTGAATGATGTTTGGATGTTGTCTGAATGATGTTAGAATGTTGTCTAAATGATGTTAGAATGTTGTCTGAATGATGTTTGGACGTTGTCTGAATGATGTTTGGATGGTGTCTGAATGATGTTTGAATGTTGTCTGAATGATGTTTGGATGTTGTCTGAATGATGTTAGAATGTTATCTGAATGATGTTTGGATGTTGTCTGAATGATGTTAGACTGTTGTCTGAATGGTGTTAGAATGTAGTCTGAATGATGTTTGGATGTTGTCTGAATGATGTTAGTGTTTGAATGTTGTCAGATGATGTTAGAATGTTGTCTGAGTGATGTTTGAGTGTTGTCTGAATGATGTTTGGATGTTGTCTGAATGATGTTAGAATGTTGACTGAATGATGTTATAATGTTGTCTGGATGATTTTTGGATGTTGTCTGAACGATGTTAGAATGTTGTTTGAATGATGTTAGAATGTTGTCTGAATGATGTTTGGATGTTGTCGGAATGATGATTGAATGTTGTCTGAAAGATGTTAGAATGTTGTCTGAATGATGTTTGGATGTTGTCTGAATGATGTTTGGATGTTGTCTGAATGGTGTTAGAATGTTGTCTGAATGATGATAGGATGTTGTCTGAATGATGTTTTGATGTTGTCTGAATGGTGTTAGAATGTTGTCTGAATGATGATTGGATGTTGTCTGAATGATGATTGGATGTTGTCTGAATGATGTTTGGATGTTGTCTGAATGATGATTGGATGTTGTCTGAATGATGATTGGATGTTGTCTGAATAATGTTTGGATGTTGTCTGAATGATGATTGGATGTTGTCTGAATGATGATTGGATGTTGTCTGAATGATGTTTGGATGTTGTCTGAATGATGATTGGATGTTGTCTGAATGATGATTGGATGTTGTCTGAATGATGTTTGGATGTTGTCTGAATGATGATTGGATGTTGTCTGAATGATGTTTGGATGTTGTCTGAATGATGATTGGATGTTGTCTGAATGATGATTGGATGTTGTCTGAATGATGTTTGGATGTTGTCTGAATGATGATTGGATGTTGTCTGAATAATGTTTGGATGTTGTTTGAATGATGATTGGATGTTGTCTGAATGATGTTTGGATGTTGTCTGAATGATGATTGGATGTTGTCTGAATAATGTTTGGATGTTGTCTGAATGATGATTGGATGTTGTCTGAATAATGTTTGGATGTTGTCTGAATGATGATTGGATGTTGTCTGAATGATGTTTGGATGTTGTCTGAATGATGATTGGATGTTGTCTGAATAATGTTTGGATGTTGTCTGAATGATGTTTGGATGTTGTCTGAATGATGATTGGATGTTGTCTGAATGATGATTGGATGTTGTCTGAATGATGTTTGGATGTTTTCTGAATTATGTTTGGATGTCGTCTTAATGATGTTTGGATCTTGTCTGAATTATGTTTGGATCTTGTCTGAATCGTCTTTGGATGTTGTCTGAATCATGGTTGGATGTTGTCTGAATCATGTTTGGATGTTGAATCTGACGTCTGAATCATGGTTGGACGTCTGACTCGGTTTGGATGTTGTCGGAATGATGTTTATATATGATGTTACACCCAACCTGTGCAACTGCCAGTTGCGTGCATTGGGAAGGCCGTTTGCCCAATGCGTGCAATCGGGGGCAATACAGCTTGCCCAATGCATGCAATGGACAGGGACTTGTATGAGTTTTAAAATCTTATTCACAGAAGTCAAAAGGACAATCATGTTTTGTGGTTACCTAATTGTTACGACCGCCTCCGTGGTCTTGTGGTAGAGCGTCCGCCCGGAGAGCGGAAGGTCCAGGGTTCGATCCCGGGCCGCGTCATACAAAAAGACGTTAAAAGATTGTACTTGTTGTTACCCTGTCTGGCGCTCGGCATTAAGGGGCTAAAACAAGGACTGGTCAGCTCGGAGTCAGTATACTGTGTCTGAGTGGGGTATTCATGTTAAACTGCGGCATGGTATCTCAGTGAGCTAGCACTATAAATCGGCATCAGTCCGGACTAGTACAAGCAGCCACACACACACATACACGTGCATGCACGTCGCTATATAAGTGCAATAATCTTGGACGCGACGTTAAACTCAATTTCACCTTACCTCACCTAATTGTTACATTTTGCAGACTGCGCATTCACTATTTCTACATGCACTGTTAGTAACCCTTTCTCCTTTGTACACATGAGTGAATCCCCTGCTCACGTGACATTGACACGAATATGCTGGGTGCCCTGTGAATGTACGCAGTGCGAGACACTGACGAGCGCAGTGACTACACAGTATTCACCTCAACAAGTAATGGCGGCTCAGATCGTGTTAGTTTTATTATTTTTCCCTGTGGTCAGTAGTCATATGAAAGTGGTGGACCTCACCTGGACCCATGGTCCATCAACCATCTACTGGCCAGGATCTGTAGGATTCAATTTCACCAACGTAGCAGAGGTAGAGACCATCCACTATAGGTAAGTACCACGTCAAAGATGAGTAACATAGACGTTTTAACAATTATGCTCGTACTTTATGTTGCAATGTCTTTTTAGATTATAAAATCGAAAAATACCCATAGACGATTTTTCAAATACAGTTGAATGAAAATAAACGTGTTCAGGAAACATACACCTCAGTGAGTGAGTGAGTGAGTTAATATTTAAAGTCACCATACACCTCAGTACGTTAATTGACAAAACACGAAAAACACTTCTTTGGAGAAACCTTAGAATTCAATTTTTTAAAATTTTTTTTAAACTTCCTGTGAAGCGACACACCTTGATTTGGAAGTGAATACTTTATTCCTTGCTGAAAGCGGTATCTATTAATTCATAAACGAAGGCTGTAGCTTAGTCCCGTTAATGCCAGTGAATGATATACAAACAGAAAGTGTTGGGGGCTAACACACACACACATACAGAGAGAGAGAGAGAGAGAGGGGGGGGGGGGGGGACCATGGTTTCACCAGCCCCTTTCTTTATCTTGTATGCGTGGCACAATTCCTTTGGGAATTGCATTATATTATTCCATTTATATCTCAAGTTTTCCTGCCCCGTGTTTTTCAGGTGAACAATTGACTTGCCTTTGCATGTGTTTGTGACGGGTACCTCCGACGGGGCAGGTATCATAACCTGGTATCATAACTATTTATTAGTGATTCATAATCATATGCAATCGTACATTATATCGTACCATCGACTCGTTTTAGCTCAGATTTCTTATGATTTTATCGTTTTTATTTGGATACTTCTCAATGCTTTGCCTTTCCTGAACATATTTCAACTCTTTGGTGGCTTCAGAACAATGTTTACATATGCCATAAGTCTGTCCACGAGTTTAGCCAAACGCTGTGGCACCGTCTACAAAGTACGTACTTACTTATACCTTTTCCCTTTAGTCGCCTCGTACAACAAGCATATGTTCCTGAAGACCTATTTTAACCAGGAACTACCACCGCGCATCCGCCAAAAGGACATTAACTTGACATTACACACACCACATAAACTGCAGGGAAAAAGACAGTATACACCCATATTTGATACAGGTATTATAGTTGTGTTTTGGACCTTAAGTTTGCAGTGTTTCGGTGACTGGTTTCAGCCTAGTAACGTTTTCATAACGTTTGTTATTTTTTGGTCAAGTCCGATTTTCAAGTCTATGCTTCTTTAGTCCAGCAGTGTAGTTTATTCATGGGGCATACCTAAGGTTGACAGCTCCCCCTGTAGTGAGCGAGGGAATTAGTAAGTGTAGTTTTATATCGCATTTAGCAATACTTTAGCAAAATCAGTTCGGGGTAGGCTTCACAATTTGTACCGATGGGGGGAATCAAACATGGGCCTCCAACCTGACACGAGAACGATATAGAGTTTAGTAGAATAGTATAACACGCTGCTAGTTTCTGGTTACAATAACGGACAAACAGGCAATAGATAATATAAAGTGTTCCAAGGATTCTATTTTCCATAAAGTCAATACATGAATATTGTCTGATATTTGTAGCTGTGCTTGCATACTACTTTCAGGTATGAGAGTAACTGGTTTTCTACACCTGAGCACGGTGGCACCCATTTGGACTCTCCTTCACATTTCTTTGAGGGGGGATGGAAGGCAGATGAGATTCCAGCAGAGCGTCTGATCGGCCCAGGAGTTATCCTTGATGTGACGTCACAAGCGAAAGCAGATCCGGATTACAGAGTCACCCAGGCCGATTTTGAGGCGTATGAAAGCAAACACGGTCGGATCCCCCACGGTGCCATCGTTATCATGAATTCTGGATGGGGAGCTCGGTATTCTGACAAAAAACGTTTTTTTAACACAGAGTACCCGGACAATTCATCTACTTTCCATTTCCCAGGTTACCACGAGGACGCCATTACCTGGTTGGTTGTCAATAGGAACGTCAGCATGGTAGGGGTCGACACACCCTCCAACGACTACGGCCAATCAACCGTCTTCCCGTCGCACGTGATTCTGGCCAAAAATAATATTCCTGGATTAGAAAATGTTGCACGACTGAACCAAGTTCCCGCGAAAGGGGCCACTGTAATTGTTGGTTCCATTAAGCTATTCAGCGGAAGTGGCGGCCCTGCCAGAATTCTGGCAACCTGGGACACGCATGGTAAACCTGATTGTACATCCGGTTGTATGAACATTCTAGAAACTGCCAGTACAAGCCTGTTCGCTGTGTTGGTTGTTGTATCGGTGATTTAATGAACATGTATCACAGAATGTGTATGGGCAATCTCTGACAAACCTATCCCAGATATTAACATGAACACATATGTCACACCTTAGAATATACACAGGACCATAGTTTTCACGGCAGCCCGAAAACGATCAAAGGTCAAGGTCGTACCACCATAATTCTTGGCGCATACTACTAATCACTATCTACCCGATGTAAGGAGAATGTGTTAGCCTGTAACAAATAATAAAGAAGTTTTATCCATAAAAGTTTCTTGTCTTTAAAACAAAAGCATTTGCTGATTTATTGATATATTTCCTTTTATATTGATGCATATTCGTATCAGATAGACATGTATTTTATCCGTAGAAAGGCGGTCTAGCCTACCGTACAATTCACGGTTACAATTAATTTATAAACTACCTCAGAACAAAATGAAATGTTTTATCCTTTATCCTTTCAAAATTGAGGAGCCCCCATGACGTAAATATTTTAAATAATGAAAATAATGAAATTGTCTTATTTATCATTACTTAAATTGTGACAATTTTATCACAAGGCCCATCTGCTTACTGGGATAGATTACAGCCTCGGATGGCCGGTATTTTCAAAATTCTAGTTCTTAGTTTGTATTGCCTCGAAGCAGTGGCGTGGGGGAAATTCGAAGCCCGTAATAAAAGAACATGATATATCAATAATACGTGTCTTGGAGTCAGATATGGATCTATGACAACGTGTTATTGTATTATCGTATGGTAATATAAGGTATTATTCTTTTCATATCGAAACCAGAATGATTTTGTTGCTATATTAGTATCAAAATAATTTAGATATTAGTATCAAAAATAATTTAAATGCAATGAAGACTTATTTAATCACAAATCTCCTTGTGTTTATAAATATAAGATAACTAACATAGGAAATCCTAAATGTGTCATGTATACATTAAATAATGTCACCAATTGTAAAATCATGATTAAAGTAAGCATCAGTTCTAAAAATTGGAATGAGTGAGTGAGTGAGTTGGGTTTAACGCCGCTTTTAACAGTATTCCAGTTATATCGCGGCGTGTCAGCTTAATGTGGGAGGAAAGCCCAAAGTGATGCAGGTCTCAGACGTTTACCACTTCGGTGAAACCCACGAGCACGGGTATGGTGCTGACAAACCTAGAAACATAATCGGGGCGAACCGGGATTCGAATCCACAATCATAGGTTTCTGGCGTGCCCAAGAGACGCAACTCTGCACAGCGAATCGCGGCGCCTTAGACGACTGGGCCACCCGTGCCCCCCTAAAAAGTGGAAATAATATACATTCGAGCATAAAAAGTTTAGTATCTTCAAATGGGTCTCCAAATGGACAAGACGGATCGGGGAAGATTTGCCATTAGTATCGCCGTACCTTATTTCACAATTGCAAGTTGTCTCTTAAGATACTTAAAGTATAGGAACTATATGATCGTTTATGATACTGTGTTATAGACTACATGAACACACAACAAATGTTAAGTAATTATATGAAGGTGATTTCATGAACATCATTTTATCCACAGCTTATTCTGTTCAGTTAGTTTAATTCCAACGGAAATGTTCATGCATCAATGTTTTATGAAGTTATGTACAAACGTGGATTTGTACCCTTGGTAAATGCATATAGCTGTACATCTTCCGTATTTGCAAACAGACAAAACGATTACTTGTTACACTGAAGCAGATGACATCTTTACTACCTTTGCGTTACAAAAGAAACTGAGCATATTCTATCCCAATAGATGGAGAAGAGGATAATCCCATTGTTGTTTGGTCAGTTAAGAGAACTGTTACATGAGAATCATTTGCCAGACATTCTCATTCACAACAAACCAAACACGAATTTAAATATTATATTTACTAAATAATGCAGCCATTATATATGATAAATACGTCAATTAAAAGTGAGGCGCTCTAACAGAACAGAACTTTGGTTAATGAAGACATGAGTCAACAATCTACGTCTTGTTTTATTAGATGTAGAACACACAAACACAAATATTGGTATTCCTCACCGATGTCTTTTAAACCACAAAAAGGCATATTATTTTATTATGTAGGATACATTGCCACCAGCCTACTCTAATTGGCATATAACAGTCAGCCAAGCACCATCTACATAGATTATAGTTCCGTCGATCGCGACGTCGATGTTACTTTCATCTACGTAGATGATACATTTTCTTAGACCGTGGCCCTAATACGCTTCCTCAAAGTAGCACACATGTATGAGATAAATATATCAAATCAATACCTTGCATACTTGATATGCGTGTTTTAGTGCTGACATTGATTTAATTTTGTTAATATGACTCATGTCATTTGAATTGTGCTGTAAATAAACATATGAGTAACAGTTTGTGGTGTTCTTTCCTTACTGGCTGACAAATGTTTGAAGAAAGGGCTAAGTCCACTTAAACCGTAGGTAACAGGCATGGTATTAGTAATGAATCAACCATTACTCAAAGTGTCTAACAAGTGGGATGTCAGACAGATGAGAGGACACCAAATTTACGGGTCACCAATTCTCTAACAATGAATGTAAAGACACTGGACAACGACGACCACCGGACTTTGCCGGATGGTGACGGAAGCCAGACAATTAAGCGAGAGGGAAACGGTATGGCCACTAGACCGTGACTGTACTGTTTTTCTCCTTTTTTCTAACATTTGAAATATTGAGTTCACGTTTCTTTGTTCTCACATATGTTGATACCTTTGCCATCAAGGCTCAAATGACCCCTACCCCTCATATAAACTACTATCAAACAGTGAGGATAAGAGGTGTTTGCATAGAGGTGAGCGTATCCTGCACCACCGGTGGAACAAACACATGCAAAGGCAAGTTAGTTGTTAAACCCGAAAAACACGGAAACGTTTGGCACAAGTCAAAACAGAGAGTTTCATCGGACATAACTCCATTTGCTACTTCTGTGGTAGTCACCAATCAACCCAATTAAACTTCCAAAAATAGCTTTAACCCTTTTAAAGCTTTTGAGAAATTCAACAGTATGGGTTTGGTCTGACAAAGCAAGAAGCACAAATGGGGCATGTTTCGGCCAATGATTAGAGTATTCTTGCAAGACTAAGGGTCAAACAGGAGTTATTTCTGCGACATGCTATTTCAAAACCCCAAATTCAGAGTGATATTTATGAAAAGAAAAATTGAAATAATACAAATATAAATTCCTTCCAGGTGAAGGCTATCACTTGATATCAAATTAACAAAGCAGATTTTAGTCAATGACACATCTCTTGGGGTAGAAGTTCATCTCTGTCACCATTCTATGGTATTTCTGGAAAGGAAAGTTAACTTACACGTGAAAGGCTTAATGTTGCTGATTAATCGCAAAGATATAAACTCTAACTGACAGCTCAGTAACATTCATGTAATATTAGTAATATTCAAATAAGTGTACTTGTTCTAGGTGTGTGTGACGTGGATACATATATATAAGCGTATAGAAGAAACGTCAACAAACTTGTAACTATGTATAAAATAATAAATAAGCAATGTCCTTCATATGTAACTGATCTTATACCACCAGCTGTGTCACAGAAGGTCAATTATAATCTCAGAAACCGCTTGATTTTGTAGTTCCATTTGCACGGACATCTACGTTTAAAAGGTCTTATATTATAGATACATTAGGCCAATGGAATAATCTATCATCAGGAATCAGGGATAGTCCGTCAATATCTTATTTTAAAGCTGTCGCATCTGAACAGCCTACATCACCACCTATGCACTATAATTGCGGTAAGAGATCTACAAACATATTGCACACTAGATTGAGACACAATTGTAGCACACTAAATTCCAACCTGTTTCGTGTTAATTTATCTGATACTATTTCCTGTAAATGCGGAGCTCCTTGTGACAATTCATTCCATTTCTTCTTCGAATGTACCTTATATGATGATATTAGGGAGACATTACTGACAGCTATCGATAATCTTGGAGGACAAAAAACTCTACATAGTATTCTTTTTGGTGATCCAAACTTAGATGTTTTCCTGAATACAAAAATATTCTTGTCTGTACACAAATTTATAGAAACGACTAACAGATTCAGTAGCTAGCATATTATTGTTTCCAAACTGTTAATCATTAATATTGTTAAATCTATATACAACACTAACATGTACATGTATAATATTAGCATATGTATGAGATGCACACTGTCTTCACCTTCCAGCACATTGTACATATCATTCACATGAGCGCTGTATATAAATTTATATTGCGCACTATGTTTCCACAATGTGATGCTTCAACTGTTAATTGTTCATTTTCATTATGCAATATTATGTATAGCTGTATATAGGGAGTAGGCGGTAATAAGTGCTGCACTTGTGCCCAATCCCTTTGTCTTTTTGGACAATACAATATGTTTAATTATAATAATAAGCAACCAATGTATTATGATCAGGGTCTATTGGTATCCCTTCAGCAAGTGCGAATCAGGTCCTAACACATCTGTTTTGTCATGTATCACGCGCTATACAGTCGAACCTCGCTTATCCGCACAATTGCTTTTTCGAAAATGTTGTCCGGATAAACGAGTTTCTGGATATCTGAATACCTTGTTAACTGACAAGAAGCCCTTCCCCTACCTCAATTCTACCGAGGCATATGTGAAATGAATGGCAAAAATATGATTTATGAAGGATCGACCAATTACTAATAAAATACATTGTGCTGTACAGACCTACGCAGCATGCTGTGACAGCGCACTGCATTATTGAAACGGCTGAAGAAATGCATATGTAGCCTAGTTTAGAAAATACACTTGTGTTTTGTACAGATGTGTCGGCGAGGTTAGGGCAACCTGACACACATGAGCATTAATAGCCATGTTTACCTGTACTAGTTGACTGCCAAGGTTGAACTCATTCATGTGTGCAAATGCTGTCGAGGCATCTGTACATCTTCTTTGTCGAATTGCATTATTAAAGTACATCAAGATGAGACATCATATACATTCATATATATTTGTTGAGCACGAAACCATGAAGTGTAGCCAGGACATTTCCTCGAAACTATGGGCGGCCATGTAGCTTCAATATCTGAGTAAATTACATCACTGAACATAGGTCAAGGTGTACTCAGTAAACAAAGATCTGAAGGGCTGTATTTCCTTCATCGAACACACTATGCGTTCATCACAGTTTGTGACGGATAACGGATACGAACGAAGTAGCACTTGTTTGGCAGGTAGGTTTTGTGTAAGGTGGGTG